GAAGAAGACCGTTGACATGATATGTGAGAAATCTTGTATGGTCTGAAGAAATTAAGGTTCATGGTCTCTATATGCTGTGTTCAATTGATATAGTGAAAGAATTCAGATACATTCAAGTATTGAAGGTTTGGGACATATTGCAGTTAGAGGATATTGAAAAGTTGGTCAAACGTCTTGACAGCATCTTTGATGCATATACTGATGATTTTATCAGTTGTTGCAATGAGAAATATTTGGAGGGGTAAGTTTGTTTTGTATTAAATTGGATATGAAACGTGATGGTGTTTCTAAACTAAAAAATTGGTAACATCTTCCTCATTTATGAATGAAAAAGAAAGTTCTATTTCATCTTCATGGAATGTTTTATTCTTTCATGAACCTTTTTTCTTGTTTACTTGTCTTTTCATCAAGGGATTTGGAGGTTCCAGGAACATGGAAACCGTCCTTCAATGTTGTCCGGTACAAAAGTAAGAGTCACAATGAAAGTAGAGGCAATTCAAATGCCATAGCTTCTGATGGAAGATGTTATGTTGAGAACTCAAAAGTGAGTGATAGCCTGTTGCTGATGAAATTCTACTCATTATCATCTGGAGTTGTGAGCCACTTGCTATCTGATCGTGATGGCAGAGAACTAGATCTACCCTTTGAAGTGACGGACCAAGAATTGGAGATAATTTTGTTTCAAAGAAGCACTTTTATATTAGGACGTTCAGGTACTGGGAAAACTACAGTGTTAACAATGAAGTTGTTTAAGAAGGAGCAGCTGTACCAAATGGTAAATGAAGGATACGAAGAAGGCCATTGCAGCACCTCTGAAGGTGTTTCCCACTGGAACAGTCTTGAGGATGTTGTGGTGGAGCCTAAGAAAACCTTTTTACGTCAGCTTTTTGTTACAGTCAGCCCTAAACTCTGTTATGCCGTCAAACATCATGTTTTGCAGTTGAAAAGGTATGTGCACTAGCTTTTGAACTAGGAGTTGCTTTAGTTGGGGAATAGTATTTTGATTCCTTAATTCATATACAGGTCTATTTATGCTAACTTCATTGATTGCTAAATATATTATGTGAATTTTTGGTAGAAAATATACTTTGCTGCATGGCTTCAATTCTGTCTTTCTCTTTCTTTTTGTTAATTAGTCTTGCTTAAAATATTCAGGTTTATATCTGATGGGAAATACTCTACAGAGAGCAGTTTGCCAGATGCATATGATTTTGATGATGCAACACCATTCAGGGGCATACCAGATTCCTTTGTTGATATCTCTCCCGGTTCATTCCCTCTTGTTATAACTTTAAATAAATTTTTTATGATGCTTGATGGAGAACTGGGTGATTCGTATTTTGAAAGATTTCCTGATGCAAGGGAGTTGTTGCATGGGAATAATGGAGGTTTGGGATCTCTTGCCTTGCAGACTTTTATGAGAACGAGACAAGTTGACTTTGACAAGTTTTGTGTAATTATTGGCCCCATTTGAATACTCAAATAA